ACCATACATACCCTAAACCTGAAACTCTAAGGTATGTCCCTACAGCAACCTTAGCCCTTAACCCTAAACCCCTTTTTAAGAGTGACCCCGGCTAGGACCTCTCAGATCTCTGTGCGCACCTCACCATCTCTGCCGAGGCCACGAAAGCAAAGGGCGCGAACATTCGGTTTAGGGTGTAAGGTTTTGGGATTAAGGATTAGGGTTTAGGGAGTAGGGTTTGGGGTTTAGGGTGTAGGGTTTAGGGTTTATAGGGTGTAGGGTTTATGGTTTGGGGTCTTGGGGTTCAGCGTTCCAGGTTTTGGGGCTCAGGGTTCAGGTTTCAGGGGATAAGGTCTATAGGGTTCAGAGTTACGGTCTAAAGGGCGTGGGTTAAAGTTTCCCGCGTTTACGGTTATACAGTGAATACGTAGGGGATTAACCCGGTTACATGGGAAGCTTAGATTGGGAGTCGTATATGCCCTCTCCTACGAATGGAACTGCAGAAGTGGATTTGGGCTTCAGGGCTTACCCTGTACGCGCAAAAAGGGTTCGTGAAGAGTACCATGAAGCCCTAAGTCCTAGACCTGTAGTAGGCTAGGGGAACCCATGAATGTTTGGGGAAGGCCCTAGACCCTAAACCCTAAAGGGTAGACGCAAACCTGAACTTTCATCAACACTTTCAACGCAATCCATCCCTCTGAAGTGGTGGATGGTTTAGGGTTTTAGGGTTTAGGATAAGTTCCAAGGATTTGGGGCCATAAGATAGTGAAGTCCTCCCCTCACATTACAAACAATGCAAGCTCTACGCTCCAAATTGGCTCCAGACTTAAACTGAAGTCCAAAACCCTACACCCTAGCCCTAACTCAGAGACCCGATGCCCCTACCGAGAGTAAATGACTAGTATACCCTAAAAGCGCCGTGGTGTCACCAGATTGTGATATCCTTGCCTTTGAGGTCTAGGTTATTCTACGCAAGCGATACACCCAAAGCCCTAAACCCTCTAAACTCTAAATCCCAGACTCTAAACCCTAATCCCTAAACCTCAAATCCTAAACCCTATACCCTATTGAAGTAGCCCTTGAGGTCGGTGCTTCCTCCAAGGAAGCAGTGAACTCCATGCGTTCCGAGCTCTTGGACTTGCCAGTAGGGCGCTGAGTGTCACAAAGCTTTATAAGGTTTCGGGTATAGGGTTCAGGGATGAAGGTATCGAGTTTAGGGTTTAGGGTACAGGGTTTCCGTTTTAGGGTTTAGGATTTAGGTTTTAGGGTTTAGAAGGCGAATTCACCCCGACCTGATACCATGCACAGGCTCTTCTGAGTGCTAGGATGTTTTTCTCCAGGGCTTTGTTTTTGAGATCTCCTGGTGTTGAGTAAGGCCGTTTCCCTTCTGCCGCTGCAAGTTCTTCAGACGAAGCAAGCCATATTCAAAAAGGGGAACCGTGACAGTCCTCGGTTACTGGAGATCCTCCCATCTTTCTTTCTTACTGAGGGCAGTTCGACCAGTAGCGCTGACAGATTTAATTGTTGCATGACTCTGGACTCTCACTCGCCTCACACCAACATGGTGCTCTATACACATTAAATAGTTCAACATTGTCTTATTGACTTAGGGTTCCGAAAGTACAAAGTGGCCCGACTAATGGATAATTTTCTGGTGCTTGCAAGGTACAAGCTCAGGATTCAGGAGTGGAGGTTCGCGGTCCAGCATCTACCCTGCGCAAGTTGTGGGGGACGTGTACTTCAAAGGTTTCGAGCGCAGGGCTTGGAAGGGCAACGGCGGAGAAGGACCAGGCTTTGCATGCTATGCTTACAACATGGTGTTGCAGGGCTGAAGTCCAAAGATCACAACTCAAAGCCACCCAAATCCCAAAAAACTCGCCAGTAATGGCCCGAAATCCCAAACCTAAAACCCCGAACCCTAAAACCTAAACCCTGAACCCCGGTGGCTCAGGATTTGTTGGCGGTGCAGCCTCTTCCTTCCAGCATGAACCTGGTTCCTACCTCATCTAGCCAGTGGCGTTTATTAGGGGTGAGGGTTCAGGGTTTAGGGCTTGGGGGCTACAACATTATCCCCACCAAATGCCCCCTCCCCTCAGATTTGAAAACCTATTGTTTAGGGCCTGCGGCACGGGCCGGCCTGGCCGCCACCCCCCTTGCCCACCCAGCTCTTGTTACCTGGGATTTTTTTTTCGGTTTTGAAGACCCTGATCTCTCTAGTTTAACTGAAA